TATATATGTGAACCATTATGTCAAATACGAACAAAAATTGACACATATATGAACTTGGACTGTATAATATTTATGAACACAATATGAATATAATAAGAATAGTTGTTACACGAAAGTAAATAAATAAATAAAAGATATGAACACAATATGAACAGTTTGTGAACAATAGTTCCTTAATTATGAACACATTTAGAAGCAAACCAATGTTGAGATATGCAACTAGTGTACATATGAACACTTGTGAACAATTCTTTAACAATTACATATGAATTCGAATTCCGATTATAGTCGTAGACGATTTTAACATTTTCATTCTCATTATTGTCGATCTGTTTTCTAATAGGTTTATCCATATTACTCGAATGATATCGAAATCTTTACAATCGGAAATTCTTTAACAATTACAAAATCAATGTTATTATAGATAGAATAAATCGAAATTACAAAACATGAACACATATAAAAAAATATCAATATTACATAATCATCAATTATTGAAATTTTTATATTTGTAACTCCCAATTGATGACTTGGGAGTTACATAAATGACAAATTACTTAATTACCCTTGCCATTAATATATGAGTTATATGTGAACCTAAAGAAAAGATGGAATATGATTGGTTAAGCTTGGTTAACAAAGTTAACACAAAAATCTTGGTTAGTATTTGAACCAACCCCTATATATATATATAACTTTTTACAACAATAACGAATAAATAAATCTATGCAATATGATGGTGAAATTTACATCTTAATTATAATTTAGGAACAAAAATTATTTAATTTTATAATTTTATATCAATGCACTTAAAAACATGCATTAAGGGGGTGTTTGGGATTGCTTATAAAAGCTGTTTTTTAACTTATTTCAGTCTAACACCGGTGATAAGCTGTTTTCTGGTGTTTGGATAAGAAAAAAAAACTGCTTATAACGGTGCCAAACCGGTAATAAGCTGTTTTTAATAAGTTAATCTTTCATGACTTATGAAAAACTACTTATTTATAGTTTACAATTTTAACTCTGTTTTATTTAACTCCAGTTTGATATCACATAAGTTAATAAGCACTTTTACAAAAAAAACATAAGTTGTTTTAAATAAGCAATCCCAAACACCCCCTAAGTATAAAATTTGATAGGAATGACCAAATCTAATAGCATAACTCAACTCTGCCATGTGTCTCGACATTTTATCTTTGTGGTTATATATAATAGCATCCCACGTTTATTCCATCTCTAGCGTCGGTGAGGAGGCGACCACACAGCTTCAGAACACAAATTTGAGTCTCAGGTTTGATTTCTCAGGAGACCATGCAACCCCATCTTTGTTTCGAGTTACAACTGACACCCTTAATGTTTAATGCTTTTGCTCTTGCTAAAGATCAACGTTAAATATGTATTGATCTTCAATCTTGTTATTTATATGTTTTCTGGTGTTATTTGTAGGAAATTATGTTGAAACGATTATTTTTGTAAATTTGTGGAATCTTGAGGACCTGAGCTAAAGTTGTGACGACCTGGAGGTCACCGGTGCACATCGATGAAAGTTCAAGGACTGATTGTGTATTTTTCTAGCTGAGTATATAAACTTTTGTATTGTAGCTTTCCAGAGCAATCGATTCGTTTTTCCTCTTTCAAATCTATCTCGTTGTGAAGGCTCTCATCATCTTGAAAATTCTTAAGGTTTTCTTAGGGTTTATGTTTACTTTTTGTTCATGAATAAGATGCTGCTTCGTTTGAACAAGGTTGATATTCAACAGATAAGACTCTTAATATAGATTAGACATTACTTTGTAATTACAAAAGGACGCAACTTTTGATATATTCCTTTGTTAGTGGGATGAAAATATCTTTTGGAATATTTTATAAACGGGATAACAATAGCTTTTGATATATTCTGTAAAGGGGATTGACACAACTTTTGTATGCATCTATTTATGTTTTGAGCACAACTTGTGTATGCTCTAAAATAGTTAAAGAAAATGGTGTGTTCGATTTATTTTATTGGTTCATTGTACTTTGTTACTGATATGTTGATACATTGAGAGAGAAGAATGGTATATTCCTTACATTATTATAAGTGTAAGGATTTATTTTCTTCGGAAAAAAGTGTAAGGATTTATTTATCAAAAAATGTACATGTTTTAATCGCTCAAAATATGAAAATCCATTGGGGTTCTTTGCCGGATTTTTTCCATGAATTTACCACATTAACTGGTTTTATAGATCAAAATGATATATTTAATCGCTTTCAGTAATCCCAGAGATTGATTTGTTCAAAAACAATCATTGTACAAAGAATTAGTCGCTCAAAATCGAAAAGTTCATTTGGGTTTTAAGATTTCCCCCCCTTGAATAATACAATTTAATCATATGTTTATTTATTATGTATTTGTACTGAAATTGTTCAAATGAGAATAACAAAAAAGCTGAGAAGGTCAAAATTTTGTCATCCTCATTCTCGCATTCTCAACAAATTCATCCTTCTCAACGTTTTGTCAAGACTAAAATTTAAACCCAAAATATTCGATGAAGTTACAACAACTTTTGCAAGACCACGCGATTTGGTGCGTGACCTAGGTCGCGGAGCGGGTGCGTGAGGCACTGTTTCCACGTAGTTTTGCCGGTTTCGTTTCTCGTTTTGAGCCAGAGTTTGGGGCATCCTTCTAGGGGTTCTTTTAAGGGTTAGAATAGAAGATTTTTGGGAGGCTTAAGTTGGGTTAACGCCTTTCCTGTCTTGGTTAATTCAGGTGTTCAATTTGAGCTTTTTTCATCCCCTTAACTGTCTAAAAAAATGTTGATTTGTGATAACGAAAGTCTCTAGACATTATGGTTTAACCCTCGTTTTTCAAAAATAAAACAATTTTCAGGAAGGTATCACGTAGAAGTGGCTCGAAGGGAAAGGGGAAGATTTGATCCTTCCAGTGGATGGCTTGCCGACTTAGTTTATAATAATTCTCAGCTGTGGATTTGTATTTTCCGCTGCAAACTATTGGGATGTACTAAGGAATCTTATAATTGTTTACTTTGATGCCGGTTTGGCTTTTCTTTATAGAATTTGGATACTTTAAGTTTTAGGTTGTTATAAAAAAGCAGGCAAAAAAACGATTAATAATCAAACAAAGTTTCAAACATGACGTCCAAACTTGAAAAGCACATTAAGTAACAAGACAACTTAACGGCTAGCATTCTAGTCACTAGTTTAAGAGTGATTGAGTTAACGTTAGAAATTCTCAAATCAGATATAGAAAAGGGCTAAGAATTAAAATTTCTCATCAAATAAATAATTAAACTGAAATTAGACAATCGTGATACAATTGACATTATTATAAAGATATAAATAAGGGGTTGTTTATCAAATTTTTTATTGTCTTGTATGGATAAATTTGTCTGTCTGGATAAATAAGTGTTGGTGTTTACTTTTTTTTATCTGAACTAACAGTCTGAATAACATAAATGATTGATTTACCCCTCCAATATTAATTATTTGAACATCAAAACAAAAGGTCATAAAGAAGCCGAAGATGGGATGTCTCATATGGGAAGGAGGCGGTGCTTTAAATAAGGGGTAGGGGTGTTATTTTTGTGGCTGAATGGGGGCAACACACCATTTATATCTGTGAATTAAGTCATGTTCTGTGTGATTAAGCCGTAAATAAACAATCCAAATAAATTGTGCAAAAAACCAGATAAACCGATAAGCATAATTAAATCAGCCGATTAAAGAGCCTCTAAGTCACTTATCGATGCATAAGAGTTTTGATTTTGGGAAAGAATATGTGGATACTATTTAAATAATATTTTATGATATAATCAACTTTAGAAAAACATATTCAATAAAATAGTTTAGTTTTATATAAATTATCAATACCTTGGACGGCTTTTATTTCAAAATTCATTGTATTATATGATTATTTTTATATATGATCTTTGTCAAACTAGCTAATAAATGTTAGTTATTAAGTTAATTATTAGCTGATAAATTAGTCATGTTTGATAAAACTAGTTGATAAACTAGATAATTAATGTAAAATAACCTAAAACAACATATTAAAAAATTAATTAGAATAATATAAAGGAATAACCATAAACAATGAAAAAATATTCCTAAGTTTATTGAAATGGAAAAATGCATTAAAACGGATCTAAAATTACTCCGACTCTTATTTTGAAGAACTAACTTTCGAAACATTTATTTTAGAATTAATTTTTTTTTGTGGAACTAGGTGAGAAATGTAAAAAAATTTAAGGGTCTGGGTGAAAAATGTAAATTTTTTTGTCTTTTAGCTGGTTGTACAATTACGGACATGAGTTTTACGGACCTATGACTATTTTGATAAATTTAAAAAAAAAAATAACTAGCAGATGAAACCAACTCTTAAAAATACTCCTAACTTTAACCACCAATATAAAATTTTGTTGCTTGAATTAAAGGTTTGGGCCAAAGTGGGCCTGGCCCTGGTCCGAGAGAGGATTTGGGACTGGTTTAGGACCACCGCTTAAAGACCGGTTAGACAGTTAGAGCCATCCGATTTCTCGGCCCAGTATAAGTTACAGTGTGGACAATCTATAGTCGTTTAGCATGATTTTTTTTTTTTTGCCCTTTTTAGGCCTATTTTACTCTAACGCGACATAGAATATAGGTATGGCGGGAGGAAAAATACCAAACGCAATAAAAGCTCACAAGACTTTCTATGATTCAAGGATTTCGACTCGTTTGTTTCTCCTATTTTCGTTCTTTTTTCTCTCCTATTTTCGTTCTCTTTTTCTCTCTTTTTTATGTTCTAATCATCTTCTATAAATATGCAAATCATAATAAATGAACTCCCATCATTTTCATAAATATCCCAATTGGTTGAGTTGCATTGGTTGTACAAATGAACATGATTGCATTTGAAATATATCATATATATAATAATAATAATAATAATAATAATTAGTTATATATTTACTAAATAATATGTGAAGTCATTTTTTTAAAAAGCAAATAATATATATCTTTTCAAATTAGATATTTTGTTGTAAAAAAAAAATAAGATTTAGTTTCTTGTTCAAAAAGTAAGTTTTTTAACCATTTTTTAAATGTTAGATACAAATCTTGATCTGCACGTGAATAATGACATGATATGAAAACTTGATAACATGTATCATATCATCTTAATTCAAATTGTAAATTATGTTTTAGTCCCTATGATTTATTAAAAATTGTAAATTTTGTCCTTATAGTTTTGAAATTTTGATATTCGTTCTTATGGTTTGCAATTCATATATATTTTAGTTTTTTGGACCAAAACACTACTTTTAAGTATGAATGATTAAAATAGAAATGAATGTAAACCATAAGGACGAAAAAACAATAAATTTGGAATCATAAGGACAAAAAGGTAATGAATCATAAACCATAGGGATGAAAATCATAATTTCAAAGTCATAAAAACAAAAATAGAAATTTTTAACAAAGTACAAGGACTAAAAACATACTTTACTCTAATTCAAATCGAAAGGTTAACCAACCCTGATATGAGTAAATTTTTTAAAGTAAAATACATTAATAAAGAATAATTTTAAAAGTATATTTTTGTAATAAAAAAATAAAAATTTAATATTATTATAATAAAAATGTATAGAAGTATCTAGCATTTAGCTGAATATAATATATTATATATTATTAATTATTAAATATATATTAATATACAATATTCAGATAGTAAATTATACGTTTCGTCACTGCGGTTTTTTATTATATATTTGGTCCCTTCGATTAAAATGATCAAAATGACTATACATTAACTTGTTTAACAGAAAAAATCTAATAGAATTAGATTTATAGACTCAATATGTTATAAAATATAAATTACGATGATGTAATCTATAGATATTTCTACTAAAGTGTTAAAACATGATGATACAATTCATAGATATTTCAAGTGGTTAAATCTTTGATAAAAAAATATAAAAAAGTTGAGAAGTCGTGCCAGGTTAGGGGTCGGATGTGGGACTCCTAGGTGTTACTTAGGGGCCGTTAACCTTGCTTGCCCAGTAACTGTTTACCGATAGGTGTCAACACTATAATTTATTTTGATGCGTAAGATTTTAATACATCAAAACATATCAAATGCTACAATTTACTGGGTAAGCGCTTACCTCGGTAAGAGTTGTCATCCACACTTACCGGGTAAGACTCTTCATCCTTCTCATCGCTCTTACCCGGTAAGATTGTTTGCCCTTCTCATGTTCATCCAATGAGAAAATTTATCCGCTAAGCACTTACCAAATAAGTATTTAGTAAACGGCCCCTTAGCAACCAAGTATTATTGGATTTAAATTATTCTAAAACAACATGAAGCAAAGGAAAGATTAGTCGAAATAATCATTTCTCTCGTGTAAATTGGTCTATTAGTTATTCTTCCCCATGATTTATCTAAATATCATTAAGTTCTCAAATCTTACTTATGCAACTTGCGGATCTAGCTAAAAGACATTTTTTATCAGATTTGACTTAGGTCCACACTTGCGACGGCCAGGTCTACAATTGAGATTTTTTTTGTCTTTTAGCTAGGTCCGCAAGTGACGGACGTGGGACGTGCAGATGTACACTACGACAAAATCGGGTTTATTGGACACTCCCAAATTCTAAGTGTCCTAATAGACCTCTTTATAGGACTTAGTTTATAGGACCAAAAAAATAAAGTGTCCTATCTAAAAGTGTTGTAATAAGTTTATATGACGTTTTTTGGCGTCATAATAAGTTTTTTAAGACACTTTTAATATAAAGTTGTCCCATTATCAACTTTATAGGACACTATTTGAAAAATTGTCCTATATATAAAAACAAATGTCCTATAAAAAATTGAGTTTATAAGACACTTTCACAAAATATAAAGTTGCTAATACGACACTTTGTATTAAAAATGTCCTAAGAAACTTGTTAAAATGCCCAAAAGCGTCATATAAACTTATTACAACACCTTTAGACATGACGCTTTATATTTTGGTCATATAAATTAAGTTCTATAAAACGGTATATTATGACGCTTAGAGATCGGGAGTGTCCTATACCCAATTTTGTTTTAGTTGTAGTGATATTTGGATAAATCAGAAAGATGAATGGTTAGAAGACCAATTTATGTCTATGAAACGACTACACCAATTTTACAAAACAAAACATTTGAGCATAATGATTTACTTGTCCGTCTGCTACACAAATTTATTTTAACGTCGCAAAATGAAGGTTGTGAGCTTCTTTTCGATACGGATTACATTGTTGCAGAAAAAGGTAGAAGCACGAAATTATCACTAGGAAAGAAGTGGCAAACCGGGGTGGTTCCTGGTTCAACCCCAAGAACCCTAAACGACACGTGATCGTGGTTCCACTGAGACGTATCCATGTGGCAAACACCCAAAGCCTCGACCAGATCGCCATCTTCACCTTCTAACGAAACCATAACCACCTTGTTCTCACTCTGTTGGCTATGGCAATAGAACACCGCATATGGGTATGGCAATGTGTGGCAAGCCACTAGTTTTGGTGAAGGTATGGTTTGCAAGATTTCGATCACTTTATAGTTTTGTAAGAGTCCAATTCTTGAATTCTTGAGGTGGGTTGTGGTCAAAGTTTTGACTTGAGTGTCGGATCCGAAGATTTCGAGTGCGAATTCGTGTGCGGATTCCAACGAGGTTGCGCAAGTCTTGGTTTCACCTTTGATGGGTTTGATCGCGCATTCTTTGAGTGTGTTTTCCATGGCTTTGGCTTGTGGAGAGTGTTGTGAGAATGAGAACAAGCGAAGGAGGTTCGGGAATTCGGTGAATGAGAACGGGATGTTATCGGCTTCGTGTTTCGGGAGGAGGTGAGATTGAGAAATGTGTCGGTTTGGGAAGTAAATTGGCATCACTTGACCTACTGTTAAGTCTTGTAACTTGAAGAAAACCATGACTTGAGGGTCGATTTGATTCAGGGATGATGGATGACCATGGTGTTGGTGCATATGATCATGATGATGGATGGTATGAGCATCATCATCCATAGTATTGAGTCTTATGACATCAGATCTTATAGCTTCGCGTCCTTCAGCATGCTGCAGCAAAGAAATGTGAAGGATTATTAATCAAGTGTGGGTGTGTGGGTGTGTGAGAGAGTAGAGAGAGAGAGATTACCAGAGCAAGAAGAAGATGAAGGATTAGAAGGCAAGATGCAAATCCATGAGCCATGCCTACTTTGATCAATGGCACACACCAAAGTAAGTAGTAGGAAGCTTAGGACTTTGGAGGAGAAATATCCAAATATTATAAACGTTTTTGTTTAATGGCAAATATATATATATATATATATATATATATATCTGAAATTTACCCACATGGATAATTCAATAAATAATATGTAACTTGAAAGCTATTGATATTATCCTAAATAATTCGATATGGCACCCACCATCTATTTTCATTATTATTTGAGAGGGTGTTTTGGATGTATAATTTCATGGTGATATATATATAATCGAGAAATTTTACTACAATAAAATTGAGTTTATAGGACATCTCAATTTCTAAGCGTCCCAATAAACTGTTTTATAGGACTTAGTTTATAGAACTAAAATATAAAACGTTCTATCTAAAGATGTTGCAATAAGTTTATATGACGTTTTTGGGTGTTTTAACAAGTTTTTTTAGAACATTTTTAACACAAAGTGTCGCATTACCATCTTTATAGGACATTTTCTAGAAAGTGTCCTGTAAAATCAATTTTTTATAGGACACTTGTTTTTATAGGACAATTTTTCAAATAGTGTCCTATAAAGTTGCTAATGAGACGTTTTATATTAAAAATGTCATAAAAAACTTATTACGACGTCAAAAAATGCCATATAAACTTATTACAATGTTCTTAGATAAGACGTTTTATTTTTTTTTGGTCCTATAAACTAAGTCCTATAAAGAGGTCTATTATGACACTTAGAAATTGGAAGTGTTTCTATAAACTCGTTTTTGTTGTAGTATTTTAATATTTAAAATTCGAAAATATGGTAATCTATATTATATTATAAAACATTTGATCGACAAAAACTTTTAAAAATTAATTTTTATGAATTAGTGTTTATTAATACATATCAGTTAAGTATTTTTATTTACTTTAGAAAACCAATATATAAATTTGTTCAAGTCTCTCAAAATTTTGATTATTTTGAATATTAAAAGATAAATATGTTATGCATCAGCAGCATGAAAGATAGATTACTGTTTGGCAGCATATATCTAAATATCATGTGAGTAAAGGGGCCGATCCATGTGCTAAACAATGGATTAGTGTCATATTCGTTAATATTATAATGATATTCGCGTAATGCAACGAGATACATCTTGATTTTAATGTTTCATTTTATATTTTGGCTCTATCGATGTTATAATGCGATTTTATATGGTTTTGAGAAAAAATAAAATGTTTTTATTTTTTAATGTTATAATTTTTTTTAAATAAGCGAAATTAGTATTAAATCAACTATTTAAAAGTCCTATTTTTTATGTAATTTTTTAATTTATTTTTTTATTATAATTTAGTTTTAAGTTTAATAATGAAATAATTTATTTTTGGTTTAATATTATAAATTTTATAAAGATAATAATTAAGTATTCTGTTAAATTCAATGATTATCTTAATTATATTTTAGATTTTTTATATTTAAAATGAGATGTTTATCACGTATTTGATTATGCGTATTTGTAGTTAGTTACACGAATTCAGATATAGAGCTTTAATAAGTTGTACTTATGCACAATCTACTTGCAATCTTGAGTTTTAAGTAATATGTATTAATAAACAATATTTTACGTATAAAAAGTGGTTTTTAAAAGTTTTTGTTATAGTATAGATATAGACTAGAATGGTACTCGCGCAATGCAGCGAGATTAATATTTTATTTTTTATTTTAGTCGATGTTATAGTATGGTTTTATGTGATTTTGAAAAAACGATAATGTTTTTATTTTTTAATGAAATATAAATTTGAGGATATCATAAAATTTTAACAAAAATATATCGATATTAATATCAAATTAACTATTTAAAATTCATATTTTTTTTGTGTAATTTTTTGATTCAATTTTTTATTATAATTTAATTTAGATTCAACAAGAAGGTAATTTATATTTGGTTTAATAATATAATTTTTTCTAAAGATAATAATTAATTATTTTGTTAGAACTCAATAATTATCCTAAATTTTAGATTTTTTATATTTCAAAATGAGATGTTTATTCTCTATTTGATTATATTTATCCGCAGTTAGTTACATGAATTCAAACATTGAGCTTTAATAAGTTGTACTTATGCATAATTACTTGTAATCTTGAATTTTAAGTAATATGAATCAATATACAGTACTTTATGCATAAAAAATGGTTTTTAAGAGTTTTTATCAAATGTTTTATAATATAGTATAGATTCTTGAATTTAGAGAGAAATAAAAGGAAAAGAAAAAAAAGGGAGGAAAAATAATTTTTTTTATTTGTGTTTTTAATTAAAAGGAGGAAAAAGAAAAAAAAAAGAAAATAATTATTGGTGTTTCTAATGATGAGAGAAAGGAAGGAAAAAATGTCGTTTTTACTAATATACCCCTTAAAGATATATCATTTAATATGAAAAATAAGGTAATTTTGTAATTTTAATAATTATTTTTTAAAGGGTTTTAGTTTTTTTTCATTACCTCTCATATCCTTCTTCTCTTTCCTCTCACATTTGGGAGGAAACTTTTGAAAGGAAACGTATCATTATTTTTCTTCTGGTTTCTTTCTTTTCTTTCCTAAAAGAGTTTCAAAAATACGAGGTTTTTTGGGCTTTGGGACGTTACATTAATGATATCTGGTTTTATGTAATGAAATAAGCCACAACTTGATGTTAAATAATAAGGGAGTATTCGTTTACATCTTAATGCTGCCATTAAGAGACAATATTTGAATCGTTCCGAGGTAAACTTTGTTTGGCAAAAAAAAAAAAAAACCTCTTAATGATACCAAAATACTCTAAACAATTTTGTATCTCGGCGAAAGCAAAATGGTACAAAAACCCATGTTTTCCATTTGCCTTCCTCAAGGTCGACAGTCTCCCATGTCGATCTCCTCCCATGATCGGTTGTTATCCGTTATTCCTTCCATCAATCTCCATTCTCTCTATCGATCTCTCAATTCAAAGTAACCTTACAATAATCAAGAGTGAAACATGGTTATTAGCAATAATACTGCGAGATTCAAGGTTTGAAATCTCAATCTAGAAGTGGGTAGAAATTTGGCCGGTTTGTGTGTCGGGTGATGGACATCTGAACAAGAACAACTATCTTGACTCGTCGGAGAAGCACCGTGCGATATTGCTCCGTCCATCGTATTCTCTCACGTATTCATTCCCACTTCTTCTTCTTCTCTCTAGGGGTTGATTACTACAATTGGTTAATAATCTTGCATGATGGGAGGGGTTATTGCTACAGATTTCATTGTTTTGTGCCTCACCATTGCAATTATTGAAATTGCCAAATGTGATCAGTTTTAGGGTTTTGAGTTTGATTTTATTGTATTTTCTTTGCTATTTACGTACATTTGGTCCAAGACTTTGAGTGATTATGAGTAGGGGTGTAAACGATATGAGAAAACTCACGAGCTAATCGAGATCGACTCGGTCAACATTCAACTCGAATAGGCTCAACTTGATATATTAATGAATCGAGTCAAGTTACCCAACACTCGACTCGAAAAGCTCGTGAGATACTCAATTACTTTATATGTAATCAGTTTTTATGATAAAATTTGTAAAATATAAATAATAAAAATGTCTTATATTTTTAGATATTTAAACAAAATTATGCATTTTTTAATTATAAAAATTAATCAATTATAATTTATGAAAATCACAATTAAAAAAAGACAAAGAAAAATTATAAAAAAAATGTTAGTGAAATTACCCACATTGGAAGAGAGTTGATAAAGGAAGAGAGATAAAATGTTATAAAAAGAAAGAGAGGTGAATCGGATTTTCAGCTTTGTCTTTTTTATGATAAAGTTTTTAATTTAATCCCTTTAGTTTTATAAAAATTAAGAGAACACTTTTAAGTTTTAAAATATATAAGAGAAAGACCCTAAAATTTCATAAATTTCAATGAGTGAGTTTGGTTCAGGATTTATTCGAGTTTGAATTCAAGTTCAAGCTTGATTTGAGTTGCAGTTCGAGCCTGTTTCGAGCTTGATTTGAGCTTACTTTGAGCTTGATTTGAGTTCGAATTTGAGAAATGGTTAACAAGTTTGAGTCGAGCTTTGATTTTTATTACTCGCGAGTTTGTGAGTCGAGTTCGAGCTTTGATTTTTACTACTCGCGAGTTTTCGAGTTCGATCTTGGAAATTGAGTTTCGAGTTCGAGTCTAGTATAATGATACTCGAGCTCGACTCGCAACATTTACACCCCTAATTGTGAGGCGTGATGGCGAGGTCAAGTCTCAGATCTTACAAGTTACAGCGAGACCATGGCGTTTTCCAAGGCATGTCTTAAGACGGAAATTAATTATTAAGTTATTAATAATTTAACTTTATATAAAACAATAAACAAACAAATAACCATGAATTGATAATTTAATATCAAATATACAGAGTTACAAAAATGATATCCAATATACAAAATAAGTCATTGTTTACCGTCCCTGTTTGGTAATCAATCACGAAAATCAAAGTAATGAAATCAAATAACAACAAATAAAAGTAATCGAACAATATTTTTCGTATGCTGAGAAGTAATTTAGGGCATTTGTCTTTTTCCCTATTTTGTTAAGTATTTGGCTCGTATAAACTATAAAGTTATATTTACATTTATTCTTATTCAAGTTTTAAAAATTGCAAATTTCCGCCCACGTCTTGTAACAACCATATAACTTGTAACGCTATAACATGACGCACCATAACGATCTTTTTGCATTACATCCACGTCAAGAGAGTTAACGTGACGGCAAGGTTGCGCCACGACGCCATGACGGGTTTTTTAAAACATTGAATTCTTAGATTGTTTGGATGAATTACTGTTGACTTGGTATGCAATACTTATGTCGAAGAATAACCTAGTTTTTAGGAGATCGATAGCGGTTAAATTGCTCTAGTTTGTTAGGATTTACATTCCTTGATTCACTCTATTTTATGCTTTGTAAAACAGTATAAAAGGCAATGGATTTGTTGTCATTCAGACTGTCTATTCAAAATAGTTACCAAACAATCAAATTTCATTTTGCACTATACCATACAGAGCC